GGCGTGCCCCCCGCCCCGGCTGGGCTGTTGGAGCCGCTGGCACCGCTCCACGGCACCCTGCTCGCTTCGTGAGCTGACAGCATGGGCACGTTCCTCTCGGCAATGAGGTGTTTGCTTTTCCATTTCAAGTTGCTTCAAAGGATATTTGTTGCCCGCTTATGTGTAAAATCTATAGCATGGGTGTTTGGCATAGATCTTGCCAGGGCCTGGGGAGGGAAATGGGAAACTATTGGAGTGGCAAATTATTGAGCTATGTAACGAGCAGGCCTTTCTAGCCCATGGACTGGGGCGCAGTTGTTGCTTGCATTCTTAAAAGCAAAGATTTTTCTCTGGGAAAGCTCTTTGGAATATTTATTATGGTGTTGGACAACTTTTCCGTGATTGCTCCAGTAAGGTCTTTGGATATGGAAAGTGACCTTTTCATAAATTGTTCGTGCAGTTGTGTGCACATAAAGGTTTTATGACACGCAGCGCATTTAAGATTTGCCTCAGCAAAATCGGAGAAGGGTTTTTCCACTGCTGTGGAGAGGCATGAATTTGAAGGTCTTCTGGATGTTTTGGGAGGTGACCTCCTGAGAGATGCATACTTGCTACTTCGCAAACAACCCTTTAAAAAGGTTGAATAAAGGTCTTCTGTAACTTGGTTTTCTCAGTTTTAAATTTAAGTGACTCAAGAGGTGTATCTAGTGTTTGTTATGGCATATCTATGTTCTTTTGTATTTACCTTGTGAAATCTCTTTCTGAAATCGTCTACTGAAATGCATTTATTTTCACATGTTGATGCAAATAGTGAAAGGCAGAGTATATTAAATGGAATGTTAGAATGGATGGTGGAAGGTGAAGAGTAAAAATGCGCACAGGTCTAGTGGTTGACTTTGTTTCCTATTCATAGACACAACAAGATAAAATTTTAAAAGGGAGGAATGATGGATGAATGTTAGTGGAAATACATTAAACTGCTAATGTTGTTGATACAGTATTATCTTGAAATGTGGTTTGGTAGTAGTTATCACACTGTACCTTCTTATCACTCTTTAAGTGCAGCTATCTGCTTCTCAAAAATGTTTTTTTCAGCTTTCAGAGCTCCTTATATTAAAAAAATCTTAAACCACCTGTCTTTCATATCCTTAACATGAAGAGCAGTAGATGGAGAAGAGAAACACGTGGGGAAGATGCATGTTGAAGTCTGAGGTTCTGGTTAGTTTGTACAGCGTATGGAATTGGACACTTGCACTGCCTGCATCGTGCAACCTCCAGAGCAGTATGATCAACCTGCCCTCCCCTTCCAAAGCTACCTTGCAGGTGTTCAAATCTTGGTTATTTGACCTGACTCCGCTTAAAAAAAGGAAAGCAGCTTCTAGGGCGTAGAACGATATCTTTTTGTTGAAAAGATGCCAATAAGCGATCAGCGAGAGAAGAGTTACTAAATCCATGCCAAGACATTTTCTTCCTTTCCCTGGCTGGCTGTGATGCTAAGACTGGAGGTGCGGGGTTGTGCCTCATGTGGGAGCAAAGGCAGAGCTGGACCAGATGTGCTGCTGGAATGGGCTTTGGACAGAGTTTGTGTGGGGGCAGGAGCATGTGAGCAGAGATGTGCAGATGTTGTGTTCTTGTTGTCTGTCTGTCTGTGCCAACTGGACATCTACAAAGAGCAGACATGGAGCTGCTGTGCTGAGGAAGAGCTTGTCCAATAATAATTTTTAAACAAACTCTGTGTTTGGGCCTGCATTTCTCTCCTGTGGTGGTAGAGCTCCTGTGAAAGACTTTGTAGAAGAGACGTGATAATCGTGCTTTGCTTTTCTTGCCTTATTCCTTCCCTTCTCCTCCTCTCATACTTTCTTCTTCTGTGAGCAACTACTTGTCTATGCACTTAAGTAATACTGTTCTTCCCTCTTTTCATCTTTGCTAGTGGTAATGCTGTTCTGTTTCCTTTGGAAATAGTTTCCTACTTCCAAGCTGGTTGTAGAGGAGTGTTTGGGAAGGCAGAAATGCCTAGTGGACCCCTCAGCCAATTTTCATTTCCATCTCTTCATCTAGGTTTTGGCTGCTTCACCAGCCAGCCACGTGGTAGCAATGGGAGAGCTCACCACGTTGTTCCTCGAGCGTCTAAGTGCTGCTCAGTGCTTATGAGCCAGCGGCCAGTGCTAGGGCTAGGGTGGCAAGACCAGAAGCGCAGACTTGTGTTTGGAGTGTTTTTCAAGGGGGAGTGCACCTTTGGAGGTCCTTTGAGGGAACAGGAGTTGATCCTTCACTGCTTGCTAACGTTCCTGTGTGCTTTTTCTCAATTTTTTTAAAAAGTTGATGTTTTGGGGGAGAACAGTGTTGTGGGGTTTTTTTTCCCCCTTTGCACAAAATAACAACCAAAAAAAAAAGTAGTGCAAAGTCTTCTGATTTTTTTTTTTTTTCCTCCCCCTGTGTATTTTATCACAGATCAGTCCGTTTCCTTTCACTGGGATTTGGACAAGGTTTGGTTTTTTGCATTTTTGATGAGTGAAAAATGTCCAGGCATATCTTTGGGTAGCATTCACGGGCAGACTGACTATTTCTGCATTGCTACTAGGCTTCAGAAGGTGAGATGAAACATGATTTTTTTTTTTTTTTTGAAAAACCCAAGCAACCCCACAATGCAACCCAAAAAATCAAACACTGTGTAGAATTCTAAGTGCAGAAACACATCTCTTCCTCTACTTGAGTGGCCAGAAAATCCTTTTATTCTAAAGGTTTATTACAGCGCTTACTTCTGTGTTATTTTATTAGCCCTGTAAAGTGGGGAAAGAGGCTTTTCTTCGTTTCCCAAGAAGCTAAACCCTGACTAAATAATGTAATGCCTATGCTTGAGAGCGTGAGGTTTTTCACTTCCTAGCGACCGTGCACAAATGCCACTTCCTGATCCCGATGGCAACGTTGGGAGCACGGTGTGTGAAATGCTGCCCATGCTTCTGCCCTCTCTAGTGACGGGGGGAGGCGGCTGGGCCGCGTTCCGGCCGCTCCGGCTGCGGTGGCTTCCCTTCTGAACGCCGCCTCTCCTGGCTGCGAGAGCTGGCGGCCTGGACGGGGCCTTGTGTCGCCCCGTG